GTTAATATTGAGAAATCATTTTAATAATTAATTAGTAACTGCATTAAATTAAGTAGTTTGAAGTATTTTAAGTTAAGTGATAGCTTAATTCACTCCTGATAGTCGCTGGTTGACTAATAACTTAGGACGTAAACGGTCAGGATTATTACATGCGATAATTCCGAACGCCTCACTTAGTCAATTGTCTTGCTATTATGATACAGAAATTTTACTACAATGATATATGCGAAAACTTTGATGGATAGTCTAATTCCTTTATATTATTTTTACCAATAAAACAATGTACCTTTGGGTATAGTCCAAATGCTTAAGAAATAAAAGTGAAAGATTTCTAAGATAAAATTTATCTTAAAGTGTCCATTCACATTGAGATGCGGTCTCTTGATACGTGACACTTTTTTCTCAATCTCTCTAAACGTTTTCTCATTTCAAGATATCACCTAAACAATGGCGTTGAACTATTAGATGTCACTTTGGGATAGAATGTAATTTAAGACAATGGTATAAAAATATCGTAACCGAACACTTTTAAAAGGAAAATAACAGGGAACATAGAGATACAATATGCTTGCTTACTTAATAAGCACATAAATATTATATGTTTAAAAACATAATAAACATATCAAAATATTAATTTCAATTTAAATTTTATCTTCAATAAAAGTAAATATAAAATAAATTACTCTTTAAACTAACTATATCTTTCAACACTTGTACAACATAAAAGAGCAAAATAAAAAAAAACGCTACAATCAACGACTGTGCATTAATTTAATCGATTGACTAACCTACCAAAGAACACTCACATAAAAAGAAACTAAATTAAAATACATTTATCTTAATAACAACGTTAAAAAAAATAATCGAAGCGTATAGTAAGAGGTATTTTTTTAAACAAATAGTCGAATTAATAAATCAAGAGCGGCAAACGAATCACAGCCTATCGGGACAATCTCGCACAAGGTACGAACCGCGGGACGACAGCCACTGTTAAACAAATTATTTTATTATTATCGATTTTAATCAACGCAATTAAGCCGGTGTTAAACCGAAGGAAAAATGTACATGATCGAAATAATTCGCATTACATTTCACTCGCGGAATGGAATGTACGAGGGCAGCTCGGCGTGACTCCTCCGTCTTATCAACGCATCTGTTATATTGTAATGCTTTTTCTTTAGCCGACTGCGTGAAAGGGATTAGACGTGAACAATGGCACTCCAACTATTCAGGGAGCATGTACGCTTCGAATCCGACCAGAGCTTAGGCAGCATTCTAAGCAATTACTGCATCTGCTGACAGTCCATCTAGACTACTATACTATAGTACGAGAAAATCGTATTCGATCTGATCTGTTTGTACAGCGTCAATTAATATCTAATTTTATTGAATCGTCTGCGTTTTAACAACAGATCAATAGCGTATTGACGTGTAAATATCGTTTGTGAACTACGGTCGGTATATTTTGCACAGTTCGCGTAGGCTTGGACATTCCGATTCGCGGAGTCGTATTCGCTTATCGCTCGGCCTTATCCACATTAGCAAGAAATACCGAATTATTTCGGTAATAGGGGTAGCCTTATCGTAAATTTAATACTTTAATGATGTCTGCTAAAGGGCCGACTTTGATAAAAAAGCTCGACGTTACCTGGCCGAGGCCGGCTTCACCCACGGTTACGAACTGGCTAACATGTCAACGATGTTTTTTGCCCGGCTGATGTCTTTAACGAAATTCATGTCATTGGGTCCGATTTCTCTAAGATTAACTTTTTTACATTATTTAACAAATAGATCGGGTCCTTATACGCTCGAATATTCAGTTACATGGTTTAACACTTAAAAGGGCTTAACGACGCTAACACATCCTGCGGGTTACGATAAAAAAAGACGACAAAAAGAGAATACTTCTCGTGTTTGTTTTTTAAAAGATGTCTGCGCGAGATAAGGTGCAGCGGCACTTTAATCCTGAGCCGTCCGATATTTGAAAAGGATATGACGACGAGTTTTTTCCGTGCGTTTTATCTAATAAGCACATATATGTAAGTGCGTAAGCAATAGTTGCGCTGGCGTTTTGTTCCCCAAGTCGTAGTGTTGATAAATGTGTGTGACACGCACCCACTAACAAAGTGTCGACGTTATCGGAAACGTTTTGCTACAAATGTAACGTATGTACTATTTGATAAACTCGTGCATCTAATAATCTATTCCACTTTTAGGTATTTACTGAGATATCATTCATTTATCGCATCTCGTAAACACACACGTTTTATTGTTGCAGTAGGTTAGTTAGCCGATCAAAGTACTACAACATTTATGTCATCTTCATATCACTTCGTTATATTATACTTGTTTGTGTTCATTTCCGCGTTCTCATTTGTGAACGATTCATTGATTTTTGTTATGCATTGTACATTGAGGAGGCACTCTAAAGTCGCTCAGTTCAAAGTAATATAATTAGCTATAAAGAGGCTAATTTCCAATAGATATAAGTATTCTAGATATCAATATTTGCAAGTACGTGCTTCAGATGCCCTCTTAGATTCATCGATTGCTCTCATACTTATCCATTTTCTAGGTCATTATAAATGCTCTCTAATATATAACGATTCGAGTCGTTTAAAACTTTTTAATAGACATAAATATGATATTACATAAATATGATATTACATATAAAATGAAATACAAAAAGAATATGGTTGCATTAAGCTACTACTAGCGCCACCTGTTAAGTTAAATACTAAATTCGATACTAGCTTTTCATTAATGCTATAAATTCTTACTTTAAAATACAATTACTAGAAATCATCAATCGCTGAAGTAAAAATAACTAAGATAATTGTTAATTAAATAGCAGAATAATATATCTGAGACGGTAGCAGGCCGGGTGAAGTCGGAAGTAGTGCGGTGTCCGCAAACTTTAGTACCTACTTAATGATAACACAAAGCTCACAATCTCACTAGATAGTTTAAATTCATTTTGCGCTCTGTAAACGTCTATATTATGCAGTGACTGTCACTTGTTATAAACGTCTGTATTGCGCAGAACATGAAACACCAATTTACATTAAACTCAGAAGCTGTATTTCCCAGCGGGTATTTGATAGGTAATGAAACTAAAGCATCCAAGACGTCGACTTCCATCGAATCTTGTGACTCTGCGTTTGTTTTAAAACTATTAAATGAAATATGTTGATACACAATAATAGTTAGATATCTTATTGAGTACTTTGGGTGATCTATTTGAACGTAACTGAAGTTTTTTGTGGGAATAATATATTGTAATTGTCATAAACACTTCATTTATATCCACCCAGTAACATTGTTTATGTATAATTCTATAATTACCAACAGAATGTTCGCAATTTGCTGACTTTAAAAATGCTTTTACTAAGTTATGAAATAAAAAATACATTACAATAGTAAAGAGATTTTAACAAAAAAAATCAAAGAAAAAATTCGATAAGGAATCCAAAATTATCAAAAAAGAAAATAACTAATAGAAGAGAGAGAGGAACTAATCAATTTTTTTTTAAAAAGATCAAGGTATAATTTTGTAAAACGAACTTTATAATCTGCAATTTGCTAAAGTGAACAACCAAATTTACTCTCCACGTCTTCAAATTAAATGAAAAAGAAAAACCAAACTAAGCTAAGACGGAAGTATGTAATTATCTTGTCATGATTACTAAACATTCTGTATGCAAGTTAAAAAAAAACCTAAGTTATGTTTGTATGTTATGTAGTTTTATAGGTTTGTAAATTATTGTCAATGGCGGCAGTATATAAATTACGTCTGATTGAATCATTTTAATTTTATTACTAGTATTGATTCACATATTACCTGTTACTATTAATAATCATATATCTATACGTAGCGCAAGTTTAATTAATAATTAATAACTATGCAGGGTATTGTAGACTTGCGGGGTCTCGGCGTTTAACGGCTTCAGGATTACCTCAATAATTCCCTCGGCACAATAAATGTTTTAGTAGCGAAGCGAGGCGCGGTACAGTAGATCGAAATTTTCTAGTAGCGGGTAACATGGCGCGCTGTGTGCTTGTTAAGGTTGACACCGAAGCCATATCTCTAACGGGCGGGTCACAGCTCGTCGTGACTTCACCACGCTTACGTACATACCGCACACTATTTACCTTACAAAAGGTTAAAACGTCTCATATTCAAATTATCTCACAATTTACTAAACAAACTCGTTAACTAAAAGCTTTTCAACAGTTATTAGAGTTTAACGTCACTGCGGATTAATATAAAAGATTTATAATCGAAAATAACATATCTCTTCCGGTAATATCCTATAATAACAAGGTAAGGACACAAAAGTTTTAATTCTTATTCCCTTTCAACTGCCTGTCAGAGTTGTATCATAAGCGGTCGACTGGCATTTCTCGGTTTCTAATCCTATTGAGAATACAACAATTGTTAGTCCGTTGAAGACCATTTTTCATTCCAATGACAAATATTTAGAAAGTTATTTATATAAACGTATGAATTCTTGCCAAGCTCAATTAAGAAGGACATACGTGCCCGGGTCTCGACTGTTGCTTTGTGTTTAGATATTAGACGGATGTTTATTTTGCGACCGCGACATCCATTCAGGTAGTCCGGCGAATAAATCTATTATAACAACAATATGCCAACCCCGATCCCTATTGTCGGCGTTCGACAATCCCGAGTCGCATCCCATTATTGCACTGATGCATAATCTAATTCCTTCATATGCATCAAAAGGGTTTCGGTGCGTGACCGATTTGCGTACGGATCATCAACGCTGACGAGGCTTAGGATACGCCCATGGTCTACCCCTTCGACTCGTTAAAAGTTCATTTATAACTCGACGCTTTACTGAATCCGTACTACATATTTATACTGCTTTGCCTTGCGATTGTGTGCTGTGCGTTCGGAGGCCTCCTATTTCTCAGATGTCTGCAACTGCGAATGGTTAAACGCGCCATAAAGGCATTTCAAAATTTACAACTTACAGAGCACCATATCGACAGCCTCCAACAGTCCGCCGCCGGCGCGGGCGGGGGTGAGCGGCGGGGGCGCGGGCGGTGCGGGGGGCGCAGCGCGGCCGAGCTCGCCCGCCGCCGCGCCGCGATGCTGCGACACCGGCCGCCCTATATTTCAAGACCCTATCACAGGACAAACAGTGTGCTCGTGCCAGTACGAGTTCCTCAACTATCAGAGGCTAGCTTCGGGGGTACCGTTGTCGATGTACAGCGCGCCCTACTCGGAGGCCGCCGCAGCGACAGCCGCCACCGCCGCCGGTATGGCCGCATACTTCCCCGCACTCTCCGCTGACCAGCCGCCGTTCTACACTAACACTGTAAGTACAAACACCGCTACACGGTTTATATGTACATCAATTACATATGTTATATGATACGGTTTACTTTTATTACTTGAACCCTACGGATATTGACTTTGACATTCCAGCTTTAAGTAAAATCATTAATAAAATGTATATATTTAAGTACTACAATAAAAGGACTATAACATTCAAGAATAATACTGGTTAAATAACCAATAATTTGTAAAAACTAGTTATGAATACTCCCTACATTACATAAAACAATAACAATAATACAACAATTGTACAATCGTTAAACAGAACTTACATCAATATAGAGTTGTCATCACAGAATTAATATTTACAATCATATACAATGATAGTATTAACAACTTAATCGCACAAATGACAGGCTACTAACTAATTAGATCTATTACAGTTAATGTGACACCGGTCCAAGACGAGTCGGTTATTAAATGGAACGGATTATGAATTCTCAGTTGAGAAGCTTACTGTTTATTTTTTATTCTCCGGTCCCATCATAAAAAGTATTACCTTAAAATAATTAGGACCCGATGTCAAAATAGTACGCTACAGAGGCAGCTATAAGAATCATTCACAACTTTAAGTAGTCGCAACAATAAGCTTTACTGCACAAAGAATACGTATAAATTAAATTCGTAATCCGATGACGTATGTTCACCTGTATATCATCTCGAAAAAAGGTTGTTTCCTACCTCGCTGCGGCTTAATAACTTAATGCGTTTAACAATTTCTTTCTTAGAGATTAACATTTTTATATAGCTGGCCTTTAACAAAGTACAAACAGTAGTTATTCATTTACAATTTACGAGCATCATTTTTTTTATTGCCAATATACATGTAACAGGTCTAACAAAGCATAGCTTCTTTACTCAATACCATTTTTATGTAATAAAATTGTACGAAAGTCCTCTAGGCATAAAGTTATAAAACAGAGTTGTGGATTAAGAGTTACCGCCGCGCCGCTCCGACCGCGTGTGGGTGACTTTGAATGATAATGATCATAACAACATAAAAGTAGCCACGGATCGTAATATATGACGTGTAGTAAAACTTTGGAGGAAGGTGTTAAAAGGTGGGGCCGTGAACGTGTCTCGGCAGATGATTCAATCATTCATGTAGATATGATCGTATATCATCGGTGGCGAAAGTGTTAAACCGAGCCGTGTCTATGAATGGAGAATCCTGGTCCTTCGTTTTTTATTCCTTCAACTTTTTTTTTCTCACAACTTATTTCCGACTTAAATCTTAGAAGATATCTTCGGCGCGTCATTACTTTTTATTAATAATATCGTACGCAATAATTTTACAAAATCAATATTTTTGTCAGTCGCAAATAAAATTCTAGCGTAGAAAATACTCTTTGAAAACATTTGTTTTGATTCCAATCCGTCCGCTCCACACATGTGGCACCATCGCAGGATGTAGACTGTAACGTAACGTATTGAAAAAAAATATAATTTATAGTTCTAATGAAGCGACCCGAAAATAAATCTCAGTATCACTAACGGCTCTTAATAGATTTGTGGTGAGATGCCCGTATATTATGAAAACGTTTTGATATAACGACATTTTGACAAATTCATGTGTGAATATAAAAATAATGATTGTTTTATTCAAACGGCTGTTCTATTCATAGTTTGGTAAATTTGTACAAAGACGAGCTATCATCCGCAAACTTCGTTAGCGCAAATTTGGACCACATTTTGGACATTTGATATTACAAACAGACACTCCCATTTTAATATATGCTAAAGGTATAGATTTATTTCCCAATACTAGAAATATTCAAAACAATCATTATAAAAATGTAATAATTTACACTTATTCCGGTCTCACAATCACTTATATCAATCTCATCAAAATTCCTATAGAAATTAACTGTTTTAAAATAAATTTTATGTACCATAAATACCTGTTGATATTACTAAAAATATAAAAAAAATCGAAAGTTTAGATGAATGGATGGATGGATGTTTGTTTGAATTTATAGCCTAAACGGCTGAACGGATTTCGATGAAATTAGGTATATTATAGATATAGAGGATAATCTGGACGAACACATGGCTACTAACTTTTTTTTTTCAATTCCACGCGGACGGAGCCGCGGGCGAAAGCTAGTTACAAAAAAACACTAAGTAAATGATTGTGACAATCAACAATATCTCTTGATATTTACATGAATATCGACCGACTCATGCTAGCGTGCTCTCCGCAACATTGATCGGATTATAAACATGTTTCTAACATAAAAATATACCTAGCTGATATAATTAATGCAGATTGAATTACGGCACGGTTCCATTAAACCACCGATGTTGATATTAATAAAGATTATATATTTTATTTCTTATTATTTTCTTACAAGAACATTTTCTTTAGTTAGTTGTCAATATATCATTACATACGCTTGTAGTATTAAAGTCGAATGGTAATTTCTGTTTGCTTTCAAACATTGCTCTATTTATGTTTGATTCCCTTAACGATTACTTCTGTTTTTATTTTACCTGCAATTTACAACTAACGGAGTAGTTAAGACACTATAAGTACTTAAAAATTACTTAGCTTCTCGATTTATTTCATGTCGTTAAAACTCAATGAACGTTGTAAACTTATAGAATGCAATAAGAGTTTGAAATTAGCAAATCTATGTGTGCTTCTCCGCGGCAAACGGTCAAATATCGCGTCCCCTAACAATAAATCCGAATAACAGATTCGCGTCACAGCTTAGTACGATCATTTGAAATAACAGAAAACTGGAATTATATCAAAAAGGTCGCAGCAACAAAGAGGACAGCGCGACTGGATTACGCTGTCGTACTTGAGTAAAATTTATTATCGGATTTTCGATTCGGCCACCAATGAAGTTGTTGGGACAACAAAATCTTTTGATAGATTTATCCTGGATGACCGCTTTAGGAGTCGCCCCTGAGGTATTTTTAATGTATCGCTATAAATTTTTGATTCGTCCGCCAATGTCCGGTTGCATTTTACCATATAAAAGCAGACTAATAATAACTTTATACGTTATTGCATTCATTACCAGCGCAACAGTTAATAAAACAATTGAATAGTTACCTACCGTTCATGCAATAGCTTCGGCTGATTACTATCTAAATAATTTTCTATGTAGAACAAAGGACGACGACAGTACGATAAGATTTATATCGAAGTACTTATTTGTTTGATTATTTTATAAAACACAGAACGAACACACTTCATGCACAATCTATAAACAAATATGTTATAAAGAGCGATAGTAAAAAGCAGTCAAAGCTCCCCACCGCACCAGTCTGCATTAATATAATTATGTCGAGACGTATCAATAACAAGACACTAAAAAACACAGGCATTTCTCCTCTGAAAGATGATTGATGCGTGAGTCAGATATCTATAGCCATTAAATAATAATAGTTAAGACGAAAGGATCGGAGCGATCGATCAAGAAATCAATCCGACTAGAGCGAGCTCATAATGGATTATTTTAAAGCTACTGGAAATGTGAAAGCAGATTTAATAAACTAATTTACTGAGATTATTTGCTTTATTCGCTGACAAGTGAACGTCTAATTGAAAAGGGTTATGAAGCACGGTAACGTTTTGAATATTAAAGAGAGAGAATGTTTGTTAAAGTCACGATTGTGCCACATACTGTGTTTGACCTCTTGTGATCTAATTACCAGATAATACACAAGCTGTATACATTATCGTAACCTCACTTTGTCGTTTACTGTTTCATATTCATGTTTAGGTAGTCAACATTTTTGTTTATTCTCAATATATTTGACATAGTTTTCTTCCATCTACAGGCTGCAGGAATCGAGTTGAAGGAGAACTTAGCTGCGAGTGCTGCCAGCTGGCCGTATCCCACAGTTTATCACCCCTACGATGCGGCATTTGCTGGATACCCTTTCAACGGGTGAGTTTTTATTATCATTTCAACTACAAAGTGTTTTAAAATATCCGTTACTTCAACGACCGCGTATAAAACATCACGAAACGAACGTATAAACAAAAAATAATTCGATTCTAGAACAATAAAAAGTATAATCTAACTTGTTTTTGTCAACATGTGTAGTCGGCGGAATTTTATTAACATAAAATTATTTCAGAATTGATAAGTGGGAATAAAAGAGCTAAACGGACGCATGCGGGAATGAAAAGATAGTTGTAAATATTTAACGAGGTGCCGAAGTGCGAATGACAAAAGACTGCGCGGCGGTTCCATGAATTATTAGCGCTACTAATAGCACGCGTACAATACCGTTGCACTCTCGGATAGCTGTCCACTTTATTCAATATTAACGTTGCTCACGGGTATTCCCAATCCGTAGCTCCCACTGACAGCGCTCGAGAGTTTAGAGCTTGGCATAATTAATTTTTGAGCGAGTTACTGAAGCGGCAGGCCCGTACGGTATTGGACTCTCGGCGTTTTTAATGGACAAGTCCCGACGCCGCGCCGGCAATATCGACGTTCGTTTTAGACGTGCAAATCTACAAAAGAAGTAAAAACATTTTACAATGCCAATGGAGTGCAGTCCATCAACTGCGCGCAGTGAACGTTAAGGAAGACGAGCATGTCACTATAACGGACCGAATTATGCAACATCGCAGCTGCGCTTCGTTGAATTTGTTTATAATAAAGTTCAATATAATTTTGTTGAATTCATTATTGCATAAAGTCGTTCATAAACGCAAAGGAAACATTATCAACGTTCACACACATGTAGGTAGATTTGATATAGACAACACTCTTATGTAAGGCGATAGCGGTAAATTGTAAAGGTTACAGAACATGAGTTTATTAGATATGAATATTGTATCAGATTATCGACACTGTATCGGTGTTTGTCGGCAAAACGAACATGTCGCTAACATGGCGTCGACGCCTAATGCGCAATCACTATCGATCAACATTTTCGAAACATTATCTTCTCGGCCCGAACTCGTCTCAAATAAAAATAAATATTAATAATACTTTAAACGTACGCCTGAGTAGAAATTGATTTTTTTATATGTTATTATTTATTTATTAATAAAATAATTATAATATTCAATTTATTCAAAGCTTACTAATGCGCCGGACATTTCAAAGGTAAGCATTTTATTAAATTTCAATCAATGGTAAATAATTGTTCAAGATTCGAAAAAGGTAGATAATAACGAAACAAATGCGGGTTCTTTGCATTCACAAATATTGAAAAGAACAAGTCAATAAACAAAGAAAAACATCACTTTCAATATAAAAGTAACATTAACCAAGTAATGATAAACGAAAAGAAAAATTAGAAGAGAAACCCGTAGTGTGTTCTTTTCCTATTTTAAGATTCTTTCAACTACAGTAGATAACTTATGAATTCTGTCAAATATCTGTAAAACGGTGGTTATCAAAATGATAATTTTATAAGGAAAACAAAGCTATTACGGATATAATTTTTAGACTAAATTTAATTATAAACAAAATGTAAATACATTTTAAGGACGTTCTCTACCATATTTTATCTTCTAATTTCTTAATACGAACATAATGCAAGTTATAAGTAATCATTACGAAGTATAAAGTTATTATGCTTTTTAGATATTAACGGCGTCGAAGCAAAAAAAACGGTCTAGCATTTACGGTATCATGGCTAAAGCGTCTCAACACATGCGAGCCGACTAAACACTAACATGTTTTTCCAGCCTTTTTTATGTCAATTATTTGTTTCACGCCGTGTATACTGGGGCGCTTTTTTGTTAAACATAGCATCAACTATAGGGAATGATTACTTAAATGTGCTTTTCTTGAACTACGCGTGAATGGAAAATCTATCGGCCGTCACACTTACGTTCACACGTCTCTGTCGGGGTTTTTTCCAAGCGCCGACGTTATTTTACAATTATAACGATTTTCGCTTCAATTAATATTAGGTTACACGATTTTTGTACATTGTTGTCATGTTATCTTTTTGTTAATCCGTACAAAAACATGATTAACAGCAGTTAGGTTTACGCGTCGCCGGTCACTACACGCAATTATAGAAACGCTAATTGACGATTGCGAATAACATATCGTAATGCTTTAATTAAATTCAATACAAATACAATGTGGGGTAACTAAGCAATTAAAATTAGATGTTACCACTACACAATATTTTTTGATTTATGGAACTACGAAAGAATATATACCATGATTAAATCTCCTAAAACATGGAAAATATTACGTAGAAATATAATATTACCATACTTAATTATTGTCCTTTGCATTCCAATAATAAATAACATTTCTTTGTATCTATCACTAGCTGTTCCCGTGCGGCTTCATCTGCATGAAATTATGAAAATTTCAAATTATTATTTACATTTGTCAAATGTCAAAATGACATGACATGATGACAAACCATGGTTATCTTACTTCCTTGATGTTGGCAGCAACTTATGGTCTCTTTCCCACAGTAGGGTTTTTATCCAAAATGTTTACCCCCTAAGTTTAATGGCGCCAAAATATATAGCCTAAAGCGTGAAATAAGTGTAGGGCTGTTTATTAAAAAAAACATTATTCAACAATATGCTGTAATTGCTGACATCTTAGGCAACAAAGAAGTGTGTGTTTACGCTTTATTATAATAGATAGATAGATTGACAATACTAGTATTTTGTTGAGTTTTAATTTATGTTATTAATTATTTAAGCAATTTGAATATTTTGTATGGTACAAAATTAAACGTCTAACTTAACATATACAAGGCATTAAGTTTATATACGACGACATTAAATTCTATTCACAATTACACAGACGTCATAAAGTAATGAATAAATTCATCTATAAAATATGAAATAAGTTATTCCTATTTCAGCTCTCATTTCTAACATCAACTTGTATATTTTTAATAACTTTATCTGTACAACTTTGATATCGTTTAATGAACTTGTTAATTTATTCCGCATGAATTTTCATTTTATTCAAACGAGAACAAAATAGAATGTTATAAATAATATCGTAAAAATTAATTTTTAACGCCGCCGTCACAACATATTTTGATGAGTTGATATAATCTGTAACTATATATAAAATATCCTATTTAATATGCTTCGGTTATCATCCATCCCTATTCCTATGTCATGCAATTGGTCGTTATCGTCATCATCTCCCCTACCTATCTTCAAGGAGTTTTCGTCCTCCAAATAACTCTATCATCCGACTTCTCAGTCATCACTCCCTTTTTGATCATGTTGCCTTACACGCAATCTATCCATATCTTTCTAGGTCTACCTCCACCGGTGTACCTCCACACTACTCCATGTTATTCTTTTATTCCTTAATTTCTCTACCACTGTGGCTATTCTCAAACATTCTCTAATATACACTATCTATCTAATCTAACTAATATTATAAATGCGAAAGTTTAGATGGATGGATGTTTGTTAGAGTTTGTAGCCTAAACGGTTGAACGGATTTCAATGAAATTTGGCATAGACGTAGAGGATAGTCTGGAAGAACACACAGGCTACTTACTTTTGTTGTTTTTAAATCCACGCGGACGGAGTCGTGAGCGAAACATACGGAAGATCATATGTAGAATATTATACGAAGAACATTGTGAAGTTGTAAATAAAGCCACGTATATGAACGCGTGTTGTTGCACGATATCCGAACAGCGATCATTGAATGCTAAGATCTTGATTTCTTGACAGGTTCGTTGATTCCACCTTTACATGTACGTTAGTAGTATAATGCAATTCAAACTTACCGTAGGCTTGGAATTCCAAAAGTTCTGCGCAATTATTTTAGTCATTACAAAAATGTTTTCGGCGCGGCTTAACATATCTGCGTTCTTCACCCGCAAAAGGTTTTTCTACGATAACATGCGCTCGGAATTAACCACGAGCCTCAGTAAAGTTTGAATATTATTATACAACGTTCGGTACCGGTTCTTATCAACGCCGATCATAGTACTATTAGTCGACTCTCAAGAAATCTAATTTTAATTAGGTATTTGTTTTTCAACGTAATTATGTTGTTATACGAACTCTTGTATTAACCTAATTTTAATTTTTTTTAATTAATAGATTGAAGATTTTTAAAATAGTATTATATCTTCATTTATTAGTATCCAACATATAAAAAGTAGTAAATAGAAATTTTAATAAAAAGACAGAGAAAAAGACCAAAGTAAAAAGTGATATAAATATGCTATTAATTTTCATATATGAGCGACACTACATTAAGAGTGTGCGCACATCCTTGATTCAAACTATCACACAGTTGTGTGTATAAACAGTTGTTTAGTCGTGCTTTGATTCCTATGAACTTATGTGGACCTCCACAAAACTAAACAGTTGAATTAGCTGCGAAACAATCGACAAACGACAATCACACGACAGTTTTGTGACAGTTTAATCAGAGATGTGCGCCTGCTCTTAGAATACAATACAGATATTTTCAATATAAGAGTTTTTAACGTATTTATCAAAAAAATGTTTTCTGTTGATATTTAGATAATGAATACGGTTAGGTAAATTTTATTTAACAATTGCAATAAAATACAAAGTTGCCTGTTTATATTCTATCGGATAGAAACAAGATAATGTACTCATATTTGACAATGTCAAACTTTATAATCTCTAGATGGCTTTATGTATATACTAGCTTTCGCCCGCGACTACTCCCGCTTGGAACCAATGAAAACAAAAGTGAGTAGCCTATGTGTTCTTCCAAACTATCCTCTACATACCAAATTTCTTCAAAATCCGTTCAGCCGTTTACACTACAAACTCTAAAAAACATCCATCCATTAATCCAAACTTTCGCATTTATAACATTAGTTTGATTAATAAGACTTTTAATTATTTCATAGATGCTTTTCTAAACTTTAACATAAGAAACCTCAGAAACAAACTTGCGTTTCAATTGCGTCGGTTTCCAAGTAACTTCTGTCG